TATTGGAATACTTGTGTGTTTTTGCACATATTGAAGAAACATCTCCCCAAAACTATGTTTTCTCTCTTGCTGAAAATTATTTCCGTATGTGTTGAAATTGTGGGAACTATTTTGAATAAAGTTCACATGCTCCTCTGAAGAAGCATGCATCAGACAATTTTCTGCAGGGTGATTTCTTCAACAATCCTGACATGTTAAATTGACCATCACTACATTTGCTCCATGTATTTGCAATTTTACAAGTTACTCCACATGTTTGGTTAAAGCAACAATATGTGCTTTGGTAAATGTTGTGTTGTCTAAATCATAAATTCCAATTCTCTTCTTTGGTACCACTCTTTCTAATGAGAACTTTGATCCACCAGCTCACAAAGGAATTGACCTGAGATTTTGATAGTGGTTAAAGTCCAGTATAGAAGTATTGCACTTGATTACCTATGGCCATTCCCTGATTTGGACACGTTCTCATTAGCTCTTTGATTATGTTCCATGCTTCATGATATCTCTCCCCATCTCTTTGTTGGAATGTTTGGATTTTCAGTCAAATTTTTGCTACTTTTGTCGGTGGAAAGAATTTGTTGTAGAATTTTTTAGTCAGTTCCTCCCATATAGTAATGCTTCCACGAGGTTCAACATCTAACTACTCTAAAGCTACATTCCTCAATGTGTAAGGAAATAAACCAGCTTGATAGCATCTTCATTAACTCTTGGAGCATGGAAGTTCTGACAATTTCTGAGAAATCTAAAGAGATGTGTGTTCGGGTTTTCATGAGGTAACCGTAAAATTGAAGAGTGTTGCTAGTCAAATTGATCCAATCCGCCCTTATCTGAAGATTATTTACCCCGAGATCTGGATATACAATACTGGAGCTCGTTGGCGCTGCTATAGGCGTCAAGAACATTGAGACTACAAATCTCCTTCATTTTTCTCCACTCACTCATTTTGCTGATTTTGTGGTACCGCTACTCTCTCAACACTTGTCTGAAAGTACGTTTTGTTTTTGAATAAAATGATTCAAGATCGTCGCCTTGGGTACGGAGCATACAACTAACACTTTTTATCTATGCATAAAAGAAAATAATTTTATCAAATAACAGTAAAAAGAAAATAAATTAATCAAATAACAGTAAAAAAATAAAATAAATTAAGATTAAATGTAAATAGTCCCCAACAACAACGTAAAAACTTGTGTTTTTATATCGTAAGTGTACGATATCGTAACAAACAATATAGTGGACATTTGAATCCAAATTATCATTAACCTTTAAATAAGTGTGTAAAATACACTTATCACTAGTGACGACGACGGCGCCAGGAGCTAGTGGTGGTTCAGAAGAAAATATAGATGTCCCATTCTTTAAAAAACCTACTCTGGGCTATTTCCTTCTCATTCAGGAATTCAAATCAAAATGTTTATGATGGGGCTTGGGAGTAGAATCTTTGTAACAATTTTTTATACTGTATCTGGATTTGGTGTTTCCTACTCAAAATCTGTTGTCTCATCCTCAGTTCAAAAGCCTCCCAACGATTCTAAAAGGTTACTGCGCCATTTTCGCTGGGACATAAAGTATGTAGTTTTGCATGTCCTGATTTTATTAGTTTGTTAATGTATCTGTTGGTTGCATTTATGATTCGATGTGAATTCTTGCAATTATTGTAATTGTTTCTAGGGTCAGATTTTATTAATTGGGTTTCTTACTAAATTTTAATTCTTATTTGACAACCATTAAAAAGCGTTTTTATTTTTTTAGAAAATAAGTTTTGGAATAATGATTTTTAGAGATTGTGTGATTAAAATGTAGAAAAAAATTTTAATTTTACGTACAAAATATTTTATTTCAAAAATATGAGTCATACAATGGCTTAGTTCGACATTTTAGAGGGTTTTTGTCCCAAGTTTTGCTATTTGTACTCTGAGACTAACGATGTTAATTTAGCAAAGCCCTATTGCCATACCCCTAAATGGTAGGGGACGAGTGTCCCCCTAACCAAGTGGCATAGTGCAAGGCCTTACCGATTGGTTAAATAATGGAATTATACGAGTATCTTCAAGTGACTTTCTAAATATAAAATGTTTTTTTAAAAAAAAAAAAAGAGTTAATGTTTAATAAGTCATGTATATTTCAATAGTCTACTTCTTAAAATATATAAACCATATTTAAATTGATTGATCAATTGACATATAGAAAATTATGTTAAATACAATAGGGATAATTGCAGCAAAAACCTCAAATCTTTAAAATACTGACAGACTTTTCCCAAACCTTTAATTTGTTACAGCTGTCACCCCTAACATTTGGGATTTCATTTGGGGTGGGGTTGACTTTTTTTTAATTTCTTTTCTTTTCTTTTTTTTTTTTGTTTATTATTTAATTATTTAATGTGATTAATAGATAGTTACCATTTTTCCCTTTTAAAATTAATTAAAATGTGGTCAAAATTAATTTTTTNAGATGTCCCATTCTTTAAAAAACCTACTCTGGGCTATTTCCTTCGCATTCAGGAATTCAAATCAAAATGTTTATGATGGGGCTTGGGAGTAGAATCTTTGTAACAATTATTTATACTGTATCTGGATTTGGTGTTTCCTACTCAAAATCTGTTGTCTCATCCGCAGTTCAAAAGCCTCCCAACGATTCTAAAAGGTTACTGCGCCATTTTTCGCTGGGACATAAAAGTATGTAGTTTTGCATGTCCTGATTTTATTAGTTTGTTAATGTATCTGTTGGTTGCATTTATGATTCGATGTAAATTCTTGCAATTATTGTAATTGTTTCTAGGGTCAGATTTTATTAATTGGGTTTCTTACTAAATTTTAATTCTTATTTGACAACCATTAAAAAGCGTTTTTATTTTTTTAGAAAATAAGTTTTGGAATAATGATTTTTAGAGATTGTGTGATTAAAATGTAGGAAAAAAAATTTAATTTTACGTACAAAATATTTTATTTCGAAATTATGAGTCATACAATGGCTTAGTTTGACATTTTAGAGGGTTTTTGTCCCAAGTTTTGCTATTTGTATTCCGAGGCTAACGATGTTAATTTAGCAAAGCCCTTTTGCCATACCCCTAAATGGTAGGGGACGAGTGTCCCCCTAACCAAGTGGCATAGTGCAAGGCCTTACCGATTGGTTAAATAATGGAATTATACGAGTATCTTCAAGTGACTTTCTAAATATAAAATGTTTTTTAAAAAAAAAAATAGTTAATGTTTAATAAGTCGTGTATATTTCAATAGTCTACTTCTTAAAATATATAAATCATATTTAAATTGATTGATCAATTGACATATAGAAAATTATGTTAAATACAATAGGGATAATTGCAGCAAAAACCTCAAATCTTTAAAATATTGGCAAACTTTTCCCAAACCTTTAATTTGTTACAGTCATCACCCCTAACATTTGGGATTTCATTTGGGGTGGGGTTGACTTTTTTTTTTTAATTTATTTTCTTTTCTTTTTTTTTTTTTTTTTGTTTTGTTTATTATTTAATTATTTAANATTTGGATGAACTTTTTTTTGTTTATTATTTAATTATTTAATGTGATTAATAGATAGTTACCATTTTTCCCTTTTAAAATTGATTAAAATGTGGTCAAAATTAATTTTTTTGGTCAATTGGCAGTATTTTGGATGAAAGGAGTCCAAAATGGCCTTACCTGCAACGTTTCAAAAGGTTAGCATGACGGCTACAATAAATCAAAGATTTGGGGAAAGTTTGCCAATATTTTAAAGGTTTGCAATTTTTACTGCAATTATCCCAATATAATATGAAGAGAAATTAATAAATATTTTTTGAATAAAAGCAAAATAAAAAATAGACAACTTGTTGTAATGTATAGAATTTTTGACTAAAATTTTTTAAATTTAAAGATGCTTGGAGACAAAGCTGCCAATTGATTGAATTTTGATTCGAATCTGATCTGAATCCAATGAAATTAATGGGAGATAGATTTGGAGTCTCAGTCCAATAATCTAATTAAGATTCAAATCCGATAATTCGTTAACTAAATAGATCAAATATGAATATAGGTTAATCTGATCTGATGACAATCAGATATAAATAATTGGTCGGTAAAATATTTTATGACATGTTATTTGTTACTAAAATAAATAAATTTAGAATAAAAAAATCATCAAATTCAAAACATAAAAATGTTGAAAAATTTATAATTATTAAATCCGTTATTGGAAATATTGGAAAAATAAATAAATGTTGATTCTAACATTGATTTTTTTCCTAATTTCTTTAATTTCGGATTGGATTATCAGATCGGATATCCGATAATATAGTAAAACGGATATGGATTTAACAATCAAATATCCGTTGGATTATCGAATCGAATTGAATAATTATTCTTATCAGATCAGATCGGATACAGACAGATCCGATCCATTTACGGCAACCAAATTTGGAGAAACTTTCCTACTTTTACACAAGAAAAACTTGATTCTCACTAGAGAATTCAAATGTGTATGAATTGATGGGTGATTTAATTTATTTATTGGGTGGATGAATGGATGCTATCTTGATCAATTGTGGACTAAGAATTTTGTACTGTATTTGTTGATTTCGCGTCTAGTTGGATTACGTCTCCATAATTAACGTCTCTATCTCAATTTTTGTCATTAGAAACAGAATTTGTGAGCCCTAAATTCTGCCAAATGGAAGTTTGGGAATTTTATTGCCTAGACAAGAATCACAAGGAGATATAACAGACATAGACTTAGATTAAATTGACAGAATCTTTTTAATAAACAAAGGTGACGGATGATCGAGTTGACAATGCCATGAGTTCATGGAAGTCACAGCAGAGAAATTGGCAGCTGGATGGATAAAATGCAAACAAGGCCACATTCCCTTTATTCCGGCCTCGGACCAGGCAGCTGAAATCTGATCTTCTTCAATGCTTCAACAACTTCTTTCATGTTCACCCTCTCATTGGCACTTTCTACTGTACAATTTAGAGCAAGTTCCATTATGGATGACAAGAATTTCAACTTTTCTGTGTAGTGTTCTTTTTCTGGCCCATAATCTGAGGCATTGCATTGGGCATAGAATCATTTACCCAGCTCCTTAGGCTTATATCACCCGAAAAACTTTCACTGCTTGGTTTCTTTCTTGTAAATACTTCCGTTAACGTAATCCCATAGCTATAAACATCACATCTACTTGACACTAATCCTTCCAATCCATACTCTACACAAGAATTAAGAAATTAATTAGTTGTATTAAGTTTGGCGTTACACTATGCTTGAAATATATTTGCGTTTGGTTGTATATTGTAATGTACTATTTCCGATGTCTAGAAAAGCACAAAAAATGAACTTCTGTTTGTTATTTTTGCAAACAATGATTCCAAATTTTAATCCGGTGTACCAAACGTTCCCTAAATGTTCGGGAGAGAAGATTGGAGTAAAAGATAGGAACTTTACCTGGTGCAATGTAACCTAGTGTTCCCAGGGTTGTAGTGTATACATTGCTTTCTCCTTCACCCAGTAACTTAGCAATTCCAAAATCGCACAAGTGGGCAACCATATCTTCATTCAGCAGAACATTACTTGGCTTCAAATCACAGTGGATGATAGGCATTGAGTAACCATAGTGCAGATATTCCAATGCGCATGCTACGTCTATCATTATATTAATTCCTTGCAAGATATCCAAGACGTAGTCATCTGAATACAACCACTTCTCGAGGCTTCCATTAGACATGTACTCAAGTACCAAGGCCTTGAAATCTGGATTGGAGCAAGTACTAATGACTTTACACAAATTCCGAAGGCGAAGGTTGCGCTATACCTCACATTCTACATCAAAACTCTTGAATGCATTTTGCAGATGCAAATGGAACACCTTTACAGCCACATCCCTTCCATTATTAAGAGTCCCTCTATAGACGGAGCCAAAACTCCCAGCGCCAAGCAAATGACTCTTACTATACCCTTCAGTTGCTTGCATAAGTCCATAATATGAGACCCATAGTGTTGTGCCAGGTTCAAAGTCCACCGTCTTTTCCACCAGTTTTTTTCCTTCGATATCTTCCAATTGCATATGCCAATGCCATGGGGATTAAAATTAGCACTATGATCCCCAGCAAAGAAAATACAACACGAAGCATCACTTTTCTTCCCTTTTGTTGACCAATAGGACGTGATGAGAGACGATATATAGGATCACCACACAGTCCTTCATTAGAAATGAAGGATTGACTTGAAAAGTTTCTGAAAGGACCACCAGAAGGAACTTCACCACTTAAATCATTGAAAGACAAGTTCAAGTATGTGAGATACTTAAGTTCCTCTAAAGACTTGGGGATATTACCCAAAAGATTGTTGTAAGATGGATCGAGTCGCTCCAGGTTCAGCAGCTTACCCATTGACTCCGGAATAGATCCTTGCAGTGTGTTATGTGCTAAGGAGAGATTAATCAAGCTTTGTAAATATCCAATTGATGTTGGAATGCTACCTGAGAATCGATTGATTGATAGATCAATAACAGTTGCAGCCTTTAGATTCCCTATTTCTTGAGGCAGAGGACCGCTCAAAAAATTTGAAGATAGACTCAACTCCAGAAGATAGTTCTGGAGCCATAGGCTTGCAGGTATGCTGGAGGTCAATCTGTTGCTGTCTATATATAGAAGCCTTAGTGTAGTAATATTCCCTACACAGTCTGGAATAGCACCTGTTATTAAATTTTCTGACAACAGCAATCCATAGAAATTGGGAAGTTCACAAAGAGTGTGAGGAATAGATCCACTTATCTTATTTGTGTGAAGATCTAATCCTTGAAGATTTTGCATATCCACCAGAGTTGTTGGAAATGATCCCGTCAACTCACTGCCATACAGACTTAACACTATCAAACTGCTAAGATTGCCAATTTCATTTGGAATGCTACCTCGGAGATCACAATTATAAGCATAAAGATATTGAAGGGAAGTGGAAAGATTTCCAACTGAAGCTGGAAGAATGCCGTTCAAAGGATTATTAGCAAAAATCAATTTTGTTAAATATCTACAGCTTTTCAATGATGTGATGAAACTCAATTGTGAAGATTCACTTATAAAATTGTTGTTACCAAAGTTTACACTTTCAAGGAATCTCAAATCGCCTAGGAAGTTGGGAACTGGTCCAGTAAAACTGTTTTTGGACAGGTCTATTGCAATGAGTTTAGAAGAATTTGCAATGGAATTTGGTACTCTTCCGTGGAAATTATTACTGCTCATGTAGAGTACTTGAAGATTAGGAAGCTCATAACCCAAAATCAATGAATCTAGGTTGCCTGAAAGTTGATTGTTTGAAACTGAAATCACTAACAATGTAGAGATGTTGAAGATTTTTTGGGGAATGGAACCGCTTAAACTATAGGAGCTCAAATAAAGATACTCCAAGTTGTAAAGGTTGCCAATCTCCTGTGGGATTACACCTACAAAATTTTTAAGTGCTCAAACTTTCTTCAAACTACTGTATAAAAATACAAAGGACAAATAAGAAGTTGTTTGAATGTACTAATTGAAAGTTACCAGAAAGGTTGCATCGAGCAACGTTAATATATTGTAAAGATGAAATGTCAAAGATACTGGCTGGTATAGAGCCCGTAAGAAAATTATTTTGCAAGCTCAACTCCTTGAGGTTCTCCAGGTTACCCAATTCATGTGGAATTGCACCTGTCAAATTGTCAAGACAGACCGAGAGATTACAATTATCAACACCAGTAATCTTGTGAATAAACAATAATCTAAAGTAGTAACACAACATCAATCAAGATTTGGTTACCTGAAAAATTATTTAAACCAAGATATAAAATCTGAAGCGTCCTTATTCTCCCAATTTCTCCTGGAATGGATCCATTAAATTTGTTGATTGACAAAGAAAGGTTCTGAAGTTGTGAACATTCTGATAGACCAGAAAGGATTTCGCCACCCAACTCATTTGAAGATAGAAAAAGCCCTTTGAGTCTTGGAAGTCCATGGCATATGTCAAGAGGGAGATGACCACTTAAGCTATTCCCTGTGAAGGAAAGAATTTCCATTGTCGATATGTTAAAGATCCTAAAAGGTATTAGACCAGTGAGCCTGTTATTTCGCAATCTAAGCGTTTTCAAG